CTAAGAATTTTATGAGAGAAAGATGGTGACCAAACATGATTACTGTACAAATTTTATATGCTCAGGTTTTGTAATTTAATTACTACAAAAAGGACAAATTGCAATTGCAAGAAATCATGTGAGGGCAAGATAAATATGAAATTCAATATTATCTGCAAATGCATGGTCATATTATGTATCAACATGACACAACAACATCACAACAAGGTAATGGAACAACATTTTCCATTTTTTCCTCATCATAAAAATTATAACTTATTTAAAACCATTTAAAGCTATTTATCAAACCCTAAAAAAGATAAATCAATCATTCCTTCATACTACATCCAATGAGCCTGAAATTTTTATCACAATATACACATAGCATCAGTAGACTCCCATAAAAATTTCACATTTATTTGAGCAAAAAAATGCAGTTATGAAAAACACAAGACATAACTAGTATTAAAAACCAAACTGCATAAATTGATTTTTACAGCAAAAACCTTAAACTAAAGAATGCCATATTATAGATACATTGCATAGATAATTTCACAAGGATTCCAAAAACTCCTCATTTGCTATTTTACGATTTTTTGACAATTTGTTATGATTTTCAAAGTTCAACCGATTATATGCATATAATGAAAAAGAAAAGGAAAAACACTTTTGCACTGGGTTCCCTGCAGAAAACACGAATTAAACGCCAGCGAACCGGTCCTTCTTGGCACTATTCCTCTGAGTCATGGCTTCGCACTTAGGCCCTCCCACTTCTTCTTATTCTTGCCCGCGGTTCTTCGCCTTCTCTTCTTCACGGAAATGGAGCAGAGCACGGTTTGGGCCGGCCGGGCTCGGCCAGCGAGAGCCGGCAGCGGCGGGGAGGGGCCGGTCGGGCTTGGCGGCAGCTGCACCTGGCCAACGGCATGGCCAGCTGCAGCCCGTGGCCCTCCTGGCCATGGTACAGGAGCCCGTGGCGGAGGCGGCCCTAGTGGCTACTCCGGCGGAGAGGAGCAGCGGCGGCGAAAGGAGCTGACGGGGTAGGGGCGGCGGCGTAAACTGGGGAAAGCGAAGGTATTGCTGGCCTAAGCAGAGGAAGGCCAGAGGCAAGGGAACAGTGGTGGCGAGAGCTCAAGCTGCCGGCAATGGCGGCATCCGCACGCGGCATGGAGAGGGGGCGAGAGAGCGAACCAAGAGAGAGGCAGGGAGCGAGTGAGGGAATGGGGAGCTCGGGCGTCCACCTGGGAGAGCGTAGGGGCGTGGGGACATGCGGAGTGGAGAGGGAGAGCCATGGTGGGGCGAGCTCCCGCATGGCTGCCACGCGCTCCCCCTTAGAGGCATATTCTCGAGCATCTGGTGGGCGACGACGTGGCCATTTTGGAGCTAAGTTTTAGGCATCTTCGAGGCATATTCTGGAGTGGGTGATTAAAGCAAAGTTGTAGCTATCCTGATGGTCTACAAACTTTATTAAGGTGTCACAGCCATTAGGGCTTTGAAACAGCGGTTAATTAGTGTCCAATTTGCAAGTGTCAACGTGTTGACGTTGATTAATCAAATTCAAAAATCGATGGTCAAGACAAGGTCAAACGAGTGCCATCTTTTTGTATACTCTCCTCCAGTAAATTGCCTCCAACTTTTATTTTGGGACCCGATCAAGTTGCTTAACAAAATCACGAGAACGCGAGACGCCAAAGTCATTGTTTAGTGAAACTCCCAGACTTAGAATATTTTTGGACTCTGAAAACAGCAGCAGATTCAAAGTTTGAGACTCGGTTTGGCTTGCTTACAAGCTGATCTAGCTCTTGGTCTAAAAACAAAGTTTGTTCTACTCCACTCAAACTTTAACTTTTATTTAAGGTGCAACTCCATGCAAGCACTGTAAGAGATTGGTCAACACAGGTCAAAATAGCATCACGGTAAAGCTTAAATTAGAGTTTTAGACTGATTGAGGCATTTTCTTGACATTTGCTCAATATGAACCCTTCATGACTTTTGTTGTAGAGTTCAATTAGAGTCGTTTGGGGAAGGTAGCAAGGTTGGGTCGACATCTCATATTCCCATTTACTTAATAAAGCAATTCAAGAAATATTATAACTTATCATTTCATGCGACTTCTTGTTCCAAACTTCATGAAACTTTTCCACTGGTCAAGATGGATGCATGTTGATGTAATGTATATGAAATAAGCATGTTTAACATTACTCTTGCATAATCTTAACAAGGGTCCACATGTAAGTAAGGGTGTGTTGTCCAAGTTTAAGTTAGATCTCACTCTTTGTAGATTTGATCTTGACACCTTCATCAACACTTATCATGTCATGTTTGAGCTCAAACCCATTGCTTAATTGGTGATAAACACCTAGGGTGTTACGGAGGCGGTTGTGTTGCCCACCTCCGTTAAGCGAAAAGGCCCTCCTCCAAATAAAAATTTCCGTAGTAGTGTTACTACACAGCTGACAAATCGTTAGCAATAATATACGAACATTTTTCAAGAATTTACTCCTCTCCCTAGATAGACATATGACCCAGCCAGCCAACTCATGAGCGGCTTTATTACATTCTCGACCTTTAAACACATATGACCCAGCCAGCCAACTAACGGTGTATTCTATAGTACCATACACCAAGTCGTGTACGTGGCCTGTAGTCTTTTAACCAATCAAACGTACTTGCAGAAACCGCTGGGGTTCCTTATCATCGATCCTCTGCCCGAGGACCCGGCGCTCTCCTCGACCTACGGCGTGCCGTGACGGCTATGGGGCAGAAGAAACGCGCGCCGATTCGCCCCCGGTGCGACTCCCCGGAGACCAAATCAGCCTGAAAAACGCCTAATTCATCGAACATGAACTGATCGATGGTCCGACCCCATCCAAAGTTTCCACTTGATGGCCATACAAGTATCCCATCAGTAGGCAATTGCAATTAGCTGATGGGATCATGGGAAAAGTCGTTTACGCATCAAATCACATTGGCGACCAAGCCGTCCCCTGTTTCAGAGCGATAGAGATAATGATTGGGTGCACTGACACTGATTGAGTTCTATGCATGACATCTTCCTCTCTGAATCCAACGGGAAAACGAAAAGGTTGTTATGACATCGTCGTCTTGTGAACTGGTTTTCCCCAAAGGTGAAAGGAGCGAAATCTGACTCCCGTTTTCCTTCCGATCCGATCGAGCGACCTTTTATTTTCCAGCAGAACGTTGGAGCAAGCACTACGGGAGTACTACATACGGACTGTGTAAAAAGTTACGGCTCGTTCCAACTGCTCCACCACTAATCTGGATGATTATTGTCAGCGATAGAATTTGCCTTTAGTTAGTCCACCGGATAAATAACAACGTGAGGAAACGGTCTAAAGTTCTTGCTATCTGACAGTGTGAGCATAATCATAGAAATAACGGCCTGATCTTTAGCCCCTGTAGTCAAAAAATAAATCAATCAATTTTTTCCAAGTGTTTTGAGGTGCCATCAACATCTATCTAGCTAGTTAATGTTCACCACTGAATTAACTGACCAAGTGATTCCTCGGCACCTTCAAGACTTCGTAGAGCTGGAAACTCAAGCTTTTAACTTTTGAACTGAAGCTTGCAATTTGAAACACAATTTCCTGTGCGATGTTTGCAAATTTCAACTCAGCAGAGTAGGAAACTGATCCACAAGCTACGCAGTAAGCTTCACAGCAACGGAACCATACTAGTGTTTGAGGCTTTTGCAGTTTCCAACCAAATGCCATTCCTGGACTCGTTGATTTTTTTTAAAAAAAACACCAAGTTCTTAATCTAGTAGACTCTAGTCGTCAGTGACAATAATCTATTTTTTCCTTAAAAACTTGCCAATATGCCTATTTGAAAGATAGTTTAAAGTAACTACCTAAATTTATATCTGCATTATCCTAATTATGAAAAATTATAAAAAGTAATCACTAAATGTTTATTTAAATTATCTATATAATAAGCCATCCTAAAAAATAATTTGAAGTAATTCTCTAAATTTGACTCTGAGTTACCATTGTGAAAGATAGCCCAACTAAACACATTCCAATCTGATAATGATTACATAATACTATTACCCTGTCACAGAAAGTATATCATTCTAGCTTTATTCAAGTCGAACCATTTTAAATTTAACAAAAATTCTAGTTTTGGTCTCACAAATACTGATATTTTTCTCTATGAACTTAGTAAAATAAAAGATACTTTGCTTTTTTATCAAACTACAATGATATTCTTTGTAGGGCAAAGCTAGTATATGACAATTATGCTAAAAATATGGACAAACGAGAGAATATAGTAACGATTATCTGGGCTCTAAATCTATCCGTGAATGTTTAATCTTATACCTCTTATTAAAAATTATTTAACCCCATAGATCGTAGAACACGCGTTGAGGCCAAACAATAAAGTACGCGTGGTATAGTCACAGAGAGAACCAAAGTTTTGGCAGACGGAATGGGCATGTCATGTTCACATCATTGGGCGTCACAACCAACGGAGCTTTTTGTTATGATGAGAATCATATGATATGGTATCTCGTATCACAGGAAACACATGCTCGCATCCGTTCCGTTCCCATATACTTTAAGCCGACACTGGACTGCAGAGGGTACGAAAGTACGCTAGCACAACGTACAAAAGAAACCCAGGAATAAGAAACGACGACAGAAGCAACGCCGAATCACGTACGCGATCCATGCAAACTGATAAAAAAAATGAACGAATTCAAAGCGTAGCCTTTAAACTATTCCCATCCCCTGTTCCTTGTGTCACGCTCGGGCCGAAAAACCTGGGAAGCTCCCTGCTTTGACCACGTTTGGTTTTGCCCTTTTCTATCCCGAGAGCAGGCCCCGTCCGCTCTCGTCGCGGCACGGCCTCACCGGGGGCCATATAAATTGCCCGGCCCGCCCCCTCCCAGTCCACACAGCAGAGGTAGCCACAGCCCGAGCTCACACAGCAAGCTCCCCAGCTCGGTCTTCTCGCCAGGACCCGGCAAGCAAGGCCGCGCGCTCTCGGCAGATCGAGACGACATGGGGCGCGCGCCGTGCTGCGAGAAGATGGGGCTGAAGAGGGGTCCGTGGACGGCCGAGGAAGACAGGGTCCTGGTGGCGCACATCGAGCGCCACGGCCACAGCAACTGGCGCGCGCTGCCCAAGCAGGCGGGCCTGCTCCGCTGCGGCAAGAGCTGCCGCCTCCGCTGGATAAACTACCTGCGCCCGGACATCAAGCGCGGCAACTTCAGCCGGGAAGAGGAGGACGCCATCATCCAGCTCCACCAAATGCTCGGCAACAGGTGCTTATCTATCTTGATGCCCCAATCAGCCACTTGTTGTCTCGTGAATTACGGCGAGAAATCAAAGAGCATGCGCACTAAACAGCTCATTTGTGTGTGATTTTCAGATGGTCGGCAATTGCTGCCAGGCTGCCGGGGAGGACGGACAACGAGATCAAGAACGTCTGGCACACTCACCTCAAGAAGCGCCTGGAGCCTACTAAGCCAGCCAGCCAGGCGCCCAAGCGCAAGCCCAAGAAGCAGCAGCAGCAGCAGCCGGAGGCCGTGCCGACGACGCTCGAGGGCCCGACGACCGGCGCCGTAGGGCCGGTGTCGCCGGAACAGTCACTGTCCACGTCGACCACCATCACCACCACTGACTACTCGGCGGCGGCCTCGTCGATGGAGAACGCGGACAGCTTCACCTCGGAGGAGGAGGAGGACTACCAGATTGACGACAGCTTCTGGTCCGAGACGCTGGCGATGACGGTGGACAGCTCCAACGACTCCGGGATGCAGGCAGAGGGCAGCACCTTCGGCGCGTCGTCGTCGGCGCCGTCGACCAACGAGGACGACATGGACTTCTGGCTCAAGCTGTTCATGCAGGCCAGCGACATGCAGAATTTGCCCCAGATTTAGGCAGGAAATGAACCTCGCCTAGGTGGTGGTTTCCTCTCGATCGACCGGCTGATGATATTCTTGGCCTCACAATTCTTTCAATCTTTGTTCTGCTCCGTTTCGGTGGATGGATGTATATCTGACTGAAAACTTGTGCAGCGGAAAATAATTATGCTTCATCATGGCGGTGTTCACTTGTGTCCCTTTTCTGCTGTCATCTGTGCAGTTGTGCTTTCGCCGCAACCTTTATCCAGAGGGCCCCGGCTACATGACCACAAGTCCATAACCACCCAGCTCCGATCCCCCTTTCCTCCCTCTGTCCCTCGTCCATTTTTGCTGTCGAGACTAGGGTATATGTAGCAGCCGTCTCCGAGTCTCCATTCTCCAAGTAGCCGTGCCTCGAGCATGGCCGACATGCGCCATGCGGAGCGCCGCTGCGCGTCTCCTCAGAGCCGATGGCCGCAGCCAGAGCAAGTTGAGGAACTCTCCAACCGCTGTTTCTCTACCTCTGAGACTGATGGCCCACAGGTCACGGCCTCATGTAATAAAAAAGCTTGTCTTAAAAGACAATTATAACAATTGATGAATGTTTCACAATAAAATAAAATAAAATAAAATAAAATATTTACTGGCTTTGAATGTCTGCGAAACCTCATGTGTCGGGACCAATACTAGGGTACCCAAAGAGGAGGAGCTAATGATCACCGACGTTGATTAATCCGCGCGATCGAGAGCGCGGTTACGCCGCTTGCCGCGCTCCGCCTCGCCCGACGTCTGAGGGCTGGCTCCGCCTCGCCCGACGTCTGAGGGAAGACTCCGTCTCGCCCGACCCATGAGGGCTGGCTCCGCCTCGCCCCGACGTCCGAGGACGGGCTCCGCCTCGCCCGACGTCTGAGGGCTGGCTCCGCCTTGCCCGACGTCTGAGGGTTGGTTCCGCCTCGCCCGATGTCTAAGGGCGGGCTCCGCTTCGCCTGGTGCCTATGATGACATTACCACCATACCGACCCAGGAATCAGGCGGAGCAGATAAGACAAAGCGCTCAAAGTCAACCGCAATACCGAGGACCATACCCTATGCACCTGCAGGGCAGTGCCGTCAGGTCATGTTAGAAGGGTATTTTATAACCTTCTCGACATGTCAGAGCCCAAACAGTGTTGTGGGCGCTGACATTTGCCTTACAGTGTGTGGGCGCCGTCATTTGCCCTCGAGCACGGACCCTTACGGAAGCTCACGACAACTGCTATGGTCCAGAAGAAAACTCGCATCGCCCGCAATAACGGATGTGCGGTCACTGTGCTGCCTGCTCCCTGCAGGGTCGCTGGTCCAGCACGCCGCCCACCGGAGCAAGATGGGACGTGACGACCCGCTGACAATGCCAGAACATGGCATCATCAGCGGACATGCGCCCGACGTAGCTCTGTCAGGATCAGCGGCCATGCGGCCGGCGTGGGGCTATCCCTGCCATGATAGCGGGGCCCGCACAGAGGAAATAGAAGACCCGGCATCCTTAAAGGACTTCCTTTGCCTCTCGATTTACTCTTTTCTCCGGTCTGTAATCCCTGCTCTCCCTTGGCCTATAAAAGGGAAGGCAGAGAACCCCACTAAGGGGATCGATTCAACACACCACGCATCACATCACACATAGCAACCAAGCTCTCAGCACCCATTCGACCTTTCCAACAGAGACTTGGGACCTTTCCCTCTTTCGCCCGTTTGTAACCTCTACTATGAACTTTTTGATGCTAATAACACGAGGAGCAGCCACGAACTGGACATAGGGACATTTTGTCTGAACCAATATAAACCTTGTGTCTTTTTAGCACACCATCCGGGCTAGACGCGCAATAACACAAATTTACTTGTTGATGTTTACTCGAAACACCGACAGTTGGCGCGCCAGGTAGGGGACCTTTGCGTGTTTCGACATTAACATCAGGCCACAGATGGCTAGCCACGGTATCTGCTGGGTCCCGGGCGCACACGTGCGCTTCGGAGACCTGGACTTTATCATCACGGTGGGAGGAGAGTTGGCATTGGCTCACGCCACCATCCAACATCTCCCCTCCATTTGGCCTCGACTGCGGGAGGATTGAGCGCCAGCTCGGCGTCTCCCTGGGACCCCAGCCGTCTAGGGAGGACCCACGTCATCTCACCTTCTCTTACGCCAACAACATGGCATGGCTCGCCAGAGGGGAATCCCTCTCTATGGAACACCTCATACGGAGTGCCCTAACTGTGCTTCCATTCGGTCTCCGCAACACCGCGGGGACCGTTAGCCACCTTGTGGCACAACGCATGATTCCACCTCCCACGAATGATGAATTCGTGGGAGTGATCGAGCACGTCGTGGAGTCTTTCCATGACCTCCTCACAGAGGAGCCAGAGTCACCCTCTGGCTCTGATTCTAGCAGGGGAAGCCATCACCCCTCTCGCGAATGCTTCATGATGGGTATCCCCGAGGGACATGTCAAAAGCATCCGCGAGGAGGAGGCTACCCCAGTGAACAACCTCGACGACAAGGCCGAGGGGGAGACAATGGCCCCACCTCACATGCGGGTGGAGCAGCTAAAAGCCCGACACCGAGAGATCGAGGAAGCATGGCTCCAGCTCGAGCAGGAATACGCGAAACTCGATCGGGAAATCGAGCGTCACGGAGACGGTGGGCGCGCACGCGCCATGGCCCGCGACGTGTACCGATGGATCATCGCTGATGATGAAGCCCTCCCTCATTTCGTCCGGGCGAGCCAGAACATCACCGCTGCTGCGGCCTTGCTCCATGGCCTTCCAGAGGCCGCGACACCTGAGGATCGTCAGGGCCACCGCGAGATTCGCACGCTGCTCGAGCGTGCGGCTGCGTAGCAGGCCGAGAGCTCGTTGTCTCGGCAATGCGAGCTCAACGCCAGCCAGCGCACGCCCTCAGAGCATCCTGACAGGGACATGTCGGTCCACCAGGCACCATAAAGCAGTGGGCCGCGCACCGTGGTCCCGGTGCATCAGCGTCTAGGCCACAACCGTGATGCACGCAACACCCTCGACACTCGCAGGTGTACCCACGATGATCCGAGAGAGGGGGCTAGCCATGGCTATCACCCTTGCCATGGCATACGCTACGATAGCGGCGAGGACCGAAGCCCAAGCCCCGGCCTGCCAGGGCCTTAGGCCTTCGATCGACACATCCTCAACGTTGGCTTTCGGCAAAGGTACCGACCACCAACCAACATCCCAAAGTACTCTGGGGAGATGAACCCCGGACTATGGCTCAAGGATTATCGGCTTGCCTGCCAAGTCGGTGGTACGGATAATGATGATTTCATTATCCACAACCTTCCATTGTTCTTGGTCGATTCAGCACGAACATGGTTGGAACACCTACCGTCCAACAGAATCCATGGTTGGGCGGACCTGAAGGAGACCTTCGTGGGAAACTTCCAGGGCACATACAAAGCACCCTGAGAACCCATGGGACCTCAAAAACTGCCGATAGAAGGCAGGAAAAACCCTCCATGGGTACATCCGACGCTTCTCCCGGTAGTGCAACGAGCTGCCTAACGTCGGCACGAAGCGGCTCACCAAAGTACTGATGGATGGAGGCAGCGGCCTCAACATCATGTACGTCGACACACTCGACGCTATGGGCGTTGACCGAGCACGCATCCGGGCAACCGGTGCGCCCTTTCATGGCATCGTGCCTGGAAAGCAGGCCATGCCGCTTGGACAGATCGATCTGCCCTTCACCTTCAAGGGTCCATCCAACTACAGGACGGAGACCCTCACTTTCGAAGTGGTGGGGTTCCATGGAACTTACCACGCCATCCTGGGACGACCATGCTACGCGAAGTTCATGGTCGTCCCCAACTACACCTGCCTCAAGCTAAAGATGCTGGGCCCAGGTGGGGTCATCACCGTCGGTACCTCCTTTTAGCGCGCCTATGAGTGCTAAGTCGAGTGTTGTGATCACGCCGCAGCGATCGTAGCCTCCGGAGAACTCGTGGCCCTCAGGCAGGAGGTCACCGAAGAGGCACCCAACCCCAAGCGGTCAATCGGATCCTCCGAGCTAGCAAAAGGCTCTAAGGAGGTCCTCATAGACCTCGGGAGCACCGAGGGCAAAATAGTGTGCATTGGTACCACGCTTTCCTCTGAATAGGAAAGCACGCTCGTCGGCTTCCTCCGCGCCAATAGAGACATCTTTGTGTGGAAACCCTCAGACATGCCAGGCATTCCGAGGGAAGTCGCCGAGCATGCCTTGAAGATCCGCCTAGGCTCCAAGCCGGTGAAACAACGCTTGCGTCGCTTTGACAAGGGGAAACACAGGACCATCGGCGAGGAGATAGCAAAGCTTTTGGCGGTTGGATTCATCAAGGAAGTGTACCGCCTAGAGTGGTTAGCCAATCCCATTCTTGTAC